ATAAGCTCAAAATAAATAAAGCAAAAATTGTAAATTTAAAAAAGAATTAAATTCTAAGCCATGATCATACTGAAAGATTTGCAAATATCTTTCTCAGTAATTGTTAGTTCACGAGACAATAAATCAATAAGACACAAGATTTGAACAACGTATTAGCATGCTTTATCTTATGGATATATATAGAACCCTGCTTTCAACAATAGTGGATACATATTCTTTTAAAAAATAAATACTTTGTTTTTTAAATCCTCACTAAGGACATTTTTTCCATTGATTTTTAGAGAAAGTGGAAGGGAGGGGGGAGAGAGAAAGAGAAACAACAATGTGAAAGAGACACATGTATTGGTTGCCTCCCACACGAGCCCCAACCAGGGCGGGGATTGAACCTGCAACCCAGGTACGTGCCCTTGACTGGGAATCAAACCTGTCTTTCAGTGCATGGGCTGACGCTCTAACCACTGAGCAAAACCAGCCAGGGCAATAAATAGAACTTTTTATGCAAAGCTAAGATATAGGCCACAAGGCAAGTTTCTAAATGATGAACCATAAGAAATTGCTATTTCTATTGTATATCAAAAACTGAAAATCATCAATTACACATTTTCAACCTAATACAGATTTCAAATACTCTACAGACTAAGATTTCTAACAACAACCCAATTTAGTTGGAACTCAGTACCCTCTCCCATAAAATTTCAATTCCCATGTATTAGGAATGTTAAAAATATCTAAGTAATTAATATTACTTAGATATTTAATATCAAAAACAACAAAAATTATAAAACTTAGAACTAAACATTGACTATTCTACCTATCAAAATTGTGCGACCTAGCAAAAATGATACATAAAAAGAAACGTATAGCCTTAAATGCAAATATTTTTCAAAGTCTAAATATTAATGAGTTATCTCTCCAATCTTCATTAGAAAAATAGCAAAGTGAACCTCAAAAGAGAAATAATAAAAAGCAAAAATTAGTGAAATAAAAACATTACATAATGAAGAACAACAAAGCCAACAGTTAGTTTGAAAAGGCTAACAAAGCTGATAAACCACAAGGCAAGCCTGACCAAAAGAGAGGTAGAGGCGAGAGACAGGGATGGAGAGGTCACAAATAAGTATAATTAGAATGAAATACAACTACAGATGGAGTAAGGCTTAAAATATTTAGAAGACAATATTATTAATAACTTTATACTGGCAAATCTGAAGTGAAATGGACAAATTATACAATAATTTAAATTCTTAAGACAAACTAAAATAAAAAACAAAATCCAGCAGTTGAACATTTCTATAGCTACTAAAGAAAGTGAATCAACCATTAAAAAAAAAAATCTCACCAAGAAAACACCAAGCCCAAGTAGTTTTACAGGATAGGAAGGAATAAACCTCGCTCCCCAGTTCATTTTATGAGGCTAGTACAACCTTAATGCCAAGCCAGACAAAGGCAATATAAGAAAGGGAAATTACAGATCAATCTCACTCATGATAATAAATACAAAATGTACTAAATCACATACTACCAAATTGAATCCAGTGACTTTTTTAAAAAGGTTTGTGTCATAAACCACACGGTTGGTTTAACATGAGAAAAATCTGTTTATTTCATCTACTAAATTAAAGAATAAAGGAGAAAGATGGTATGATCATGTCAATAGATGTAGAAAAGGTATTCAATAACACTCAACAATTCATGAGAAAAACTAATAAGTCAGAAATAGAAGAGAACATCCTATAAGTTATAAAGAGTGTCTGTAAAAAACCTTAGAGCCAACATCATGAGCAATGGTGAAACATTAAAAGCATTCTCTGTAAAATCAGTAAATCTGAAGAGCTGTTATCTCCATTTCCAACACTTACTGGAGGTTTTGGTCAGTCTGTATGTGTACACGGGGGCAGACACACAGATAAACACATACACAAATATACAGAAAGACTAGCAAGGAGGAAATAAAATCCCATTACTTTATTAATTATATCAATTGTCTTCATGGAAAACTCCAAAGAATACATTTACAAACTATTTGAAATTGAGCTTAGAAAGTTTTTATGTAACAGCACTACACAAAAGCCAATTTCACAAGTACAGACCAGCAATAATGTTAGAAAAGGTAAACTTTTTAAAGATACCACTTATAATAGCTAAAAATAAAGTCTAATTATAATTAAATTATAAAGAATTATAATTCTTTCAACAAAAGATATATAATACAACCTTTATGGAGAAAACAAGAAAATTTTACTGAAAGATTAATGAAGATCTAAATAAATATGGAAAAGTACCATGTCAATGGATAAGAAAATTATCTTAAGGGTGTCAATTCCCCTCTGAAATCAATCTATAGGACCAATGGAATTCTCCCCATAATCCCATCAAGGTTTTTCTCAGAACTTAAAAAGCTGATAATAAGATTTATAAGGAAAAGAAATGGACAAGAGCCAAGGAACTGCTGTAGAAGAAAAACTGATGCAGTGAGTAGAGGGCTGAGAAACTTGTCCTACTAGATGTCAAAAATTATTTTAAAATTATAATTATTAAGACTGTAGATTTGGCAGTGGAATTAAGAGTTCAGAAAGAGACCCATACATGTATAGAAACCTGATACACTGCCGAGATGGCACTGCAGATTAGCAGGAATGTGATGAATTATTCAAGAAATGTATAAGGACTTTCAGAAAAAGTAAAATTTATATCCTGTGTCCTACACAAAGTTTCAGATAAACTAAGAATTTAAATATGAAAGTAAAAACATTTTAACTTTTAGAATATATAGAAATATGTTAACCATCTCAGGGTACATATAACTAACAAGGAATTAATATCCAGGATATATGTATAAAGAACTCCCATGTACCAATAAGAAAAAGACAAACTACCCAACAGAAAATGGACAAGTATTTTTTCAAAATGCATTTTACATAAGAGAAAAGAGAAATGGGTCATAAACATATAAGACACTCAATGTTTTTGGTAATTAGGGAAATACAAATTAAGAGGAGAGTAACGTAACCAAGTGCGGGCTGGGACGTGGAACAATAGGAACTCTCATCGCCTGCTGGTGGAAGCTTAAATTGGTTGCTGCTCTTCTATGATCATTTTGGCACCAGTAAAGCTGAACGTGGACATGCTCCATGACCTGGCAATTTAATATCTAGAACTATATCCTAGAAAAACTCTTGCACATATACAGGAATGTATTCTTTTACTTGTTGTCGGCAAAATTAGAAATTAACTCTGAAATGTTTAATTAAAAATCATACAATAGCNAATTATAATTAAATTATAAAGAATTATAATTCTTTCAACAAAAGATATATAATACAACCTTTATGGAGAAAACAAGAAAATTTTACTGAAAGATTAATGAAGATCTAAATAAATATGGAAAAGTACCATGTCAATGGATAAGAAAATTATCTTAAGGGTGTCAATTCCCCTCTGAAATCAATCTATAGGACCAATGGAATTCTCCCCATAATCCCATCAAGGTTTTTCTCAGAACTTAAAAAGCTGATAATAAGATTTATAAGGAAAAGAAATGGACAAGAGCCAAGGAACTGCTGTAGAAGAAAAACTGATGCAGTGAGTAGAGGGCTGAGAAACTTGTCCTACTAGATGTCAAAAATTATTTTAAAATTATAATTATTAAGACTGTAGATTTGGCAGTGGAATTAAGAGTTCAGAAAGAGACCCATACATGTATAGAAACCTGATACACTGCCGAGATGGCACTGCAGATTAGCAGGAATGTGATGAATTATTCAAGAAATGTATAAGGACTTTCAGAAAAAGTAAAATTTATATCCTGTGTCCTACACAAAGTTTCAGATAAACTAAGAATTTAAATATGAAAGTAAAAACATTTTAACTTTTAGAATATATAGAAATATGTTAACCATCTCAGGGTACATATAACTAACAAGGAATTAATATCCAGGATATATGTATAAAGAACTCCCATGTACCAATAAGAAAAAGACAAACTACCCAACAGAAAATGGACAAGTATTTTTTCAAAATGCATTTTACATAAGAGAAAAGAGAAATGGGTCATAAACATATAAGACACTCAATGTTTTTGGTAATTAGGGAAATACAAATTAAGAGGAGAGTAACGTAACCAAGTGCGGGCTGGGACGTGGAACAATAGGAACTCTCATCGCCTGCTGGTGGAAGCTTAAATTGGTTGCTGCTCTTCTATGATCATTTTGGCACCAGTAAAGCTGAACGTGGACATGCTCCATGACCTGGCAATTTAATATCTAGAACTATATCCTAGAAAAACTCTTGCACATATACAGGAATGTATTCTTTTACTTGTTGTCGGCAAAATTAGAAATTAACTCTGAAATGTTTAATTAAAAATCATACAATAGCCAGAGAAAGACAAGTACCACATGATCTCACTCATATATGGAATATAATGAACAAAATAAACTGATGAACAAAATAGATCCAGAGACATAGAAGCATGGAACAGACTGAGGGATCTCGAGGGAAGGTGGGGGTGGGGGAGTGGGTGGGGAGAGATTAATCAAAGAACTTATATGCTTATATGCATAACCTACCGATGCAGACATTGGTATGGGAAAGGCCTGGGTGGGGTGGATGCAGGGTGGAGGGGATTAATAGGAGGGAAAAGGGGACATCTGTAATATTTTAAACAATAAACATAAATTTTTAAAAAATCATACAATATACTCATCATCCAAAATTAATATTTATGCAGCACATAAATATCCTCTTCATGAACTGCTTGTTCATTAATTGCTAAATTCATCAATAAATATCAGTAATATCCTTTTGTAAATGCAGAGATAAAACACACCTGACAGGTCAGTTTTAAAGTATAACATGAATAACTGTTCACACTGACAGGCATCTTTATGTACTTTAATCACCAAAGACTATAGCAACGATTTATGAAAGAAAATCCTTTTTGAAGATTATTTCAATTTAATCAGGATTAAAAATAAATGAAACTTTTATCCTTATCATCAGTGAGTGAAATAACTTTGGTTTTAATATCTTAATCAGAAAATATACAGAGGCAACAACAAGAATATGGAGAGCTTGATGTCCTGTGGTCTTCCTTAATAACCACCGATTTTTAAGAGACTATAATCTGTTTAACAGAAAGCATTCTACCAAGGATCTTAATCAGATTCCAAGAAAATTAACACTCAAAATAAACAACATGCCACTAAAACCCAAACAATGTAGGTATTAGCAGCTATACAAAAGGTTAGCTCTACCCGATGAATCATTTCAAAGTGATGAAAGTGGGTCTTTGAAGTGCTTTCTATTCAAGCTGGAAGATATATAAAGGTAGGAACCATTTACGAAGCAGGTGGAGAGTTTCTCCATTTTACAAATCCTTGTTTGACTCCATGCAAACGGCTCACTAAGAATGGCAAAAATGAGTCTCTCCTCCTACATATTAATACTAACTTTTTCTTTGCTTTCTCAAGGCATTTTACTTTCAGCATCCAAGCCCATAAGAAATTTAGAAGATGACATGGTATTTAACACATTCAGGCTGGGGAAAGCCTTTCAAAAGGAAGATACTGCAGAAAAATCAGCCGTTGCTCCTTCCCTGGAACAATATAAAAATGATGAAAGCGGTTTCATGAGTGACGAGGAAAACAAGAATTCAAAGGTAAGTGGCAATATGACTTGTCCTTTATTTTGATGGCTATTTGAGTGCTTTGAAAGTGAAGTCGATACTTTTGTTTTATAAACAGAAGTATATGCAAATAGTCACAATATGCAGTAGGACAACTGATGGAATTTCATATATACCAGGTTGTCCTTTCATCCTGGACAACCCTTATCCAAAAGTTTTTTTCCAAAAAACCTTGTATCTAAGATATTTTTAAAAAGTCAAAATAGTACATCTTTGAATTAATCAGTAAGAGTATTATGCAGTTGTATTATATTACCATTCCCAATAAGACAGCTAAAACACCTACCAACCTTTTCTTTACAGAATGCAGGCTCCAAACACACTTTCTTGAATCATGGTCTGCCACTGAATCTGGCTATAAAACCTTTTCTTGCGCTAAAAGGATCTGTAGCTTTTCCAGCTGAGAATGGAGTTCAGAATATTGAATCAACACAAGAAAAGAGAGAAATTGGGGATGAAGAAAACTCAGCTAAATTTCCTATAGGAAGGAGAGATTTTGACAGTGAGTAGTCCTCTAAGGTTCAATTCTTATATTTTAGTGCCATGAAATGAAACTCTGAGTTTAACTGAATTTGGATCCAATCACAATAAGATTAAATAAGACCATGGTTCAATAGTACTTGCTATTAAGTGACCCCTGCCAAATATGTGGAATTTAAAAGCATTTAATTAGCTATTATAATTTTGATTTACTCGGAATCAGTTATACTAGATCCATTGTTTTCATGTCTAATAAATTCTGTGTGATAGTAATAGTCCTTTAAATGATTTAACTTTTTTCTGTTTCCTTCAGTGCTCAGGTGTATGCTGGGAAGAGTCTATCGGCCGTGTTGGCAAGTCTGATACCTGTTGGTCCACAGCATCGTTTCAGAAGACAACAAAATCATTTAATTGCCTGTGGGGGGAAAAGCCCTTAATGTTACTGTGACTTATATTATTTTAAATGTCTGTTTTAAAAGAAAGTAGCTATCAGCAACCTAAATGATATGCTTTATTTGTGCATTAAACTCTTGTGAATATTCTGCAAAATTATGACTTAGTAGTATTTCTTAAACAATGCTTAACATACTAACCTTACATACACTCCAGACCAAAATAATAAAGCATCATAATTTACACCTTGATCTATTAAAAACTAAGTAAATGCCTCTGGTGAATGGTTTTGTACGTACATAAACCTAAAGCACATAAAAGATGAATTCATAGTCTAAAAAACTGAGTTAACTTTGTCTGGCCAGTAATCAATTTGTCCTTGGCAGTACACTTGTTGCTTTTTGTTACTCCGGCTAGTTTACCATCCAATTTATTCTGCAAATCATTTGATGTCTTAGGCATCTTAACATTTTTATGTCGGAGTGGCTCATTTCCATTATCACAGAGAGTGTTTTCATCATCCAGATCCACCTGTTTCCTTTTTGAGCTTTTATTTCCTGTCTGACTACTTGATTTTCTTTCTACTTTTTCATTTTTACTTCTGTCCAGATGAACATTTCCAGAACTTGTTCCAATTGTTGGTCTTCCAACAGATGAATTTACACCTTCTGTTACGCAAGATGAAAAGGGGAAAGGGATTATATAATACTTAGTATTATTACATATGAGAATTTTACAATAAACTTTAAAAATGGCTAAAGAATGTTAAAAAAATTATGATTTGCACTCAGATAATGCTATAAATTACAACTATGTTATCACATTACTTTTCATTTTACCACATCACTTTTTATCCCTACAAACAACAAACATTTGCTTTGTCTGAATGCATGAAACTTTATCCTTAAATGCTATGAGTTATTTCTTAAATATTATTTAGTTAAATCAAACTGTGTCCTGCCTGGCCGGCGTGGCTCGGCAGTTGAACATCGACCTAGGATCCAGGAGATCGTGGTTCGATTCCCACTCAGGGCACATGCCCGGGTTGCAGGCTCGATCCCCAGCTGGGGGCGTGCAGGAGGCAGCCGACCAATGACTCTCTCACCATTGATGTTTCTATCTATTTCCCTCTCCTTTCCTCTCTCTGAAATCAATAACGACATGTTTTTTTTTTAAAAAACACAAAAAAACCTATGTCCTGTTTATAAATTTGTACTTATATTTAACTTCTTAAATAAGCTCAAGTCTTTAAAAATAGACACCTTTACATTTCACATTTTATACTTTGCAAAAAATAAAAAAAAATCTAGTTTTATTTAAGTTAAAACCGTACACTGGAATTAAACTGCTGTTTAACTACTCAAAGGTGAATTACCAGAAAGGTCATTTTCCATGTGAAGAACATACAATGGCTTTGATGCTGAATTAACATTATTCCATGTATTCCTGCTGATCAGGCAGTCATCTTTATAAGTACAAGAAAACTGGGATCTAATTAAGGTTTGCTTCATCTGGTAATGGGAAGAAAGAAGAAAACATACAATTTATGCTTTATTTTTATTTTTTTCATCCAGATAGAAATACACTTGACAGTAATAAAGGTATCATACAAATTTCTCTTAAAATTCCATTATTCATTGAGAACTTATAACCCTGATGTTTCATAGTTTGCTAATTCATTCATTGTTACAACTAGCACTTTTATGCATTATAGTAATACCAGTTTTATGTATATTTTTCATATTTTTTTAAGTTTAGAAAGATCAATTTTAGGCTCTTCAGAGGCTTGTCTTACACATTCCTGTGTCTGAGCTGCTTTGGAAAGAAAGTTTTATAATAAGTTTAATAATAATATACATGATATACATAATCCTAGAAAAATACAAGTTCTCTATCCTAAGAATTACAGAGTACAACTCTTTTAGAGAAAGAAACAGTATATGTAAACTCAAGAAATTAAGAAATTGAGAAAGGAAGAAATGCTCAGATGAAAAAGAGAATTAAGAAAGGATGAAAGAAACAAAACAAGAAAACTAACAAAGAAATAAACTGAAACAAAACAAAACAGTGACTCAGAGGCATTATTTCTTGATTAAAAACTTGAATATTTAAGAAAATAAGAAAGATGATTGAAATACATCATTCTAGGAAAATCTGACCAAGTGATTTAATGGTTGAATACTCAAAAGACACTCTTGCATTTATCTTCAAACATTATAAGTTGGAGAAAATTAGAAAGCTAAATTTAAGTCTTAGCCACTGAAAAGGATGCCAAGAACGCAGTTTTGGAAACGTATTCTGCAAACATAAAACCAGTGGCTATTTTAGGGATAGAAATTAATTGCAGAACAAAGTAATCCATACAGATAAAGCAAATTTTGACAATTACATCTGATGTGTAACGCCACTCAGTTATAATGAGGAGATTTCTCCAAGTACAAAATCATCCCAAATCCTTTTCAGAAACAAATGAGGTTTAAATTTCAAATAAATCACTAAAGAAAGAGGGCTTTAACATTTCCAAGTATAACTACATCATGCTGAAGGTTACATACAAAACATTTACTGATATATTCATAAAGTCTAAAACAGCACTTCATGTTACGTAATCAGTAGTTATATACTATGTTCATATATTAAGAGAGAACACTGAAAAGCCCGCTCAGTTGTCTGCAAAGATAATGGGGTAAAATCCACTGACTATGGTTCAGAAGAAGTGAGAACAGGCTCCAGTTTGGTTGCTTCATAAAATCAAGTTTTCTCAGGGTGACAAATTTTATATCTTTCTGACTAATGACACCTATGAAAACCCCCACTTCCTAGATCACTAATTATATTTAACTAAGATTTAGACCATTGTAATTTATCTCCCATTTAAGCGCAGAAATACACAAAATTGAGAAAAAGAAGAAAATGCAAAAGATCAAAACTATTTTTCTAAAAGTTGAATAGAGTAGGCTCATTAATGGAACTGCCAATCCCATTATCTTCATGAACCCACATGAATGCAACTATTACAGTTTCCACCATGAGATGCCCTAAAACATAACTGAAGGTTTTAACTAGCCCTTTCTGGACTTTATTAATTCCACAAATACAGAATTAAAGCAATTGACAAAGCTATCAAATGAATTTTGTTAATAAAATAAACTTTATGTTATATTACATCACATCACTATAGTAATGTTATCTAAAAACTTATTTCCACCTGCAAAACCAGTACTATTGACATTATAGTTTTACAAAATGTTTCTTTCATTTCCCCAGAGCTATTGCTTACAGAAAATTATAAACGTGCTGCTTATAGAGTTACAGAGTATGGTAAGTGCATGAAGGTAAATGAGTGCTAAGTGGCTAGCTAGGGTCATTCCCATAGTACCCAAACCGTGATGGATGGCTTGGGGGACTTTAGCCTCTCACCACAGTCTTCATCAGCACCACCCACGAAATACTCTAAATAAAAATGTAATAATTATATTATTTAGTACAAACAATGTCTTCTCAATAGCATGAATAAAAATTTCTTTAGAAAGCTGTATTTTTATTTTTATTACTTTTTAACATACATCTAAGTAAAAAGCCTTTCTTTGCTATGTAAATACAGTCACATACAGTGCCACAGCCCTCTTAGTTATAACTAGATTTCCTCTCCCATTGAGAAATTCTTGAGCCCTTAGTGACATCAGGTCAGTTTCAGAAAACGAGAATTACAAGGCAATAGATTCTTAAAATCCTGAGAATGGATTCAGCTATGAAAGGAAATAGTTAACCACTATTTTTTTTAATCATAAACATACCAAAATATAAGAGAGAACCACAATAGTTCTATGGCAATCATCTAATACTTATGTCCAAAAGAAATAACTGAGAATAGTACATTGAGGGCATTGTTTCTCTGTATAAAAAATTATACATAGGTTTTCCTTTCCCTACCCTATACAAAAATCCTTTTTATTAATGCCTACTACTTATTAAATTCCAACTATGTGATAGGCACATCGTGTATTAAAGAGAGTACTAGGGTGGCTTCCCTAATCACACAAGCATTCTACTTATAAAAGTTGCTGTTGACACACAGCTGGAAGGAATAATAAATAAATTGGATAACAAAATCAAGATTGAAAAGATCTCAGATGGCTAGAACCATAAGTAGAAAATAACAAGATGAAAATGAATGATAAACGAAGTCCTGTATTTAAGTTCGAAATATCAATTGCAGATGTACAGGATGAGGAGAGCCTAACTTAAAAACAACACATGAAAAAGATCTGGAGATTTTAATTTATCACGGACTTGACTGGAGCCAACAATGTAATGTCCAGCTAAGAAATCAGCACAGAAAGCAACGATGTGATGGGAAAGGCACCAGATTTGCAGTCAAAACGCCTGGCTTCCAATACTGGCTCTATCACTTATCCACTAGATGATGTTAAGTAAATCTCTAAACTTCTCACTTGTCCACATATAAAAGGAAATAATATTTATCTTACAAAATTGTCAGAATTTAATAAGGTTAAAAATATGAAAGGACTAATATAAACTCTAGAAATCTGTGTGGGTACTACGCAATTATTAATGTATCTAACATATTTTGAAGACAGTGTTTCTATAGAGTGAGAAATCTGTTGAATTAAATTTCTCAGGACCAGGCCAACTCTAAAATGATTCTTGGAATGCAGCTCAAAAAATGAGCTTACAATCAGAGTCTTCGTTTTAGTTATTAAAACAATACAAGCTACATTGGCTCATATTTATAACTTAAAAGAGAATGCTTCTCCTTTGTTCATAAAAGTTGGATTTTTCTGCACAAGATTAGTGGCTACATAGAACTGAGATTACTTCCTGTTGCAAATCTTCCAAATCTCTCTGTGTATTTGATTTGGAATCACAAATAAGCAAAAACAATTCCCACTTGCAAGTGCTTTTGAAGTACTAAACAACTAAGAATAACGTCCAGATTCATACATGGCTGTTAAAATCATTTCACGTTCAAGTCACACGAGAGAAGAGGATTGAAGTTTTCCTTTGTAGAGTGATTTCCCCCCTCTGGAAAGATTTCTATCCACAGTAAAATTGCAATAAACTTCAAACCTGCCAAGAACTGAAAAAGTCCTTTTGCCACAAGCTCTTTTTAAACTGAAATTATTAGTAGGTTCCCAGTGTGAGGAAAATAGTACTTCACATAGGAAAGCCTGACTCCAGTTAAAACGAACGAGCCAAAATATTGAAAAGTTGCAGACACTCTCGGTGTGTTATCAAGAAAAGGAGAGTACTAAGCCATTGTACTGATAAATAGATGGACAAATTTGGAAGAGGAGATAATTCTCGACATGCCTCTTAAATATGTAACTAAAAATAAGTACTCTAAATTTATCTTTTTGTTCTTACATTCTCACATTTTCAAAAGAACAGATCTGCTACCTTGTGACATGAATTTATAAATACATCAAATGATCCATTTATTCTTCAGTGAAATTTCATTTACTTTGCTAATTAGCAGAAAGATAGTATTTTCTACCTAAGTAGTAGCACTATCTTTCTTATGACTCATTATGCCTTCATTTACTCTTCAGGAAGCACATAAACCTTGAAGACTTACACCTGGATACAAATCCTTGCTAGCTCTGTTGCTTCCCCACTGCATGGTCTGGAATAGGATGCCTTCGAGAGCTGAGCAAGGATTCATGAGGATGAAGGACACAAAATGTCTTTCTAGTGTAACACTTGACACTTAGTAGGTACTCAATAAATACCAACCTCGTCACTTCAACCAAAACGAGTTCAAATTCTAACTGAATTTCTAGTTCAGTCTAATTCACAAATCCCATCTTCGTTCTAATGCAAAATGCTGTTCACTCCCTTAAAGTCTCTGCTTAAGGTCACCTTCTCAGAGAACTCTACTGGTCCTATTCAAAAGCAAAACGCATACAAAGGAACATACTCCCCTTACTCTCCTCCCCAACTTTATTTCACTCCATAGCACTGATAACCTTCTAACATACCAAACGCAGTAATTTACTTGCTTGTTTTATTGTCTGCCTCTTCCAACTAAAATGTAAGCTCTATAAACAAAACCCTTAGTTTGGCAATTAACTACTGGCCCATCTCTGGCCTTCCTGTGACCCTCCCCTCCCCACAGGGAAAAGGAGCCCATGGGCCTCAGACTTGCCCACTAGGAGACAGTGACTCCCCCTTTAGAGCCTGTTACACCTACCTGGACCCAGAATTCCCTGCTCAAACCATCCTAGGCACGGGGCTGGCACTCGCCTCTTCCTCTAGGCTCAAGGGCTGACTGTTTATGGCAAGGGTGATGGGCAGTGTTCCTAAGAGTATGGAACAGAACCAGGGTTGAAGGGGTGCAGGGGTAGGTCAGGTGCTTCCATTAGGATTCTTGCACCCCAGCCCCACAAATATTTGGAGAAGACTTGTCCATAAGGGGGCTTTTGTCTGTTTTGTTCACTGATGTTCCTCCAGTGTCTAGATTCAGGAAGGATTTAATACATGTTTGTGA